AACTGAAAGGTCGGGTTAGATGTGTCTTCGAGGAAATCAAGCCGTCAGAAATTCGCAGAGCCACGACTGATCACGTAATAACATCAATCCATCAATGTTTGCAAGTAAATGGTCAGCATTTCAAGCATATGAGCTACTGAATTTCAGTCATATCAGTATCAAATATCAAATAGTTGCGAAGCTAGTTTTACAATATTATCTCTTGTTTTCTAGTATAGAATCATTTTTGTTATCAATTTAATTTTGAAAAGTGTTCGTTCTTGTGTCGAAATAGTAATGTTTGTCATACACCCACTCTGAAATTTCATTCATGTATTCCATTAAACCTTTCTGAACTAATGTAAAGTCATTATTCGATATGTTCAATAATACATTTTTCCCCGAATTTTGTATTTGAAATGTTATATTTGATAGGAGAATTCATATCTCATAAACGGTCAGAGATAGGTATAGGACATAGTCGGTTAAAGTTGTTCACATCAGTTGACTGAATTCGAAAATTGAACAAGATACAGGGTGTTCTTTTTGAAAAAAACTAGTTATGGTCGTTTATCGAAGATACAAATTGAGACGTATTTTTCAGACACTCTGTATTAAATAAGATTTGAGTTCCATTCTGGAATAACAACCACTATATCTTATCTTAATGTTGCCTGAAGTTGAGTTCGATGTATCAGTTAATTCATGCCATATTAGATATTAAAAATACCATGTTTTCGCCAAAAAAAATTACAAAATTATTATTATTTCAAAAACGATGAGAGATAAGTATAGAACATAATCAACAAAAGTAGTTTGGATTTTGATGCAGAATTCAAAAATATATATACGGTGTTCCATTTGAAATTTCCAAGTTGATGTCTGTTACATGTAGATGTGGCAACATTGCGGTGACGAAAATATTTTCGAACGATAGATCACAACCAGTTACTTTGGTAACCAAAATTCAAAACTCTCATCTGTTTTTGATCCCTAGATACGTCTAATGGACCATCTAATATGGAATACCCTGTATAATGCGCATTCCAAAATATTGATACCACAACTTTATCAGCCGACGATCATTTTGATTCTGGTGTGAAATGATGGAACCACGTTTCATTATTGTCACATATCGACGCATAAATTCAGGTTTTTTGTGGTGGAACATTTTCAAACACTGCTCAGAATCATCAATTCGTTGTTGTTCTTGGTAGATTGTGAGCTTGCACGGCACCCACTTTGAACAGAGCTTTCGCATACCCAAATATTCATGCACAATATGTCCAACACGTTTCTTTGATATCTATAGAACCTCATCTACCTCGATCAATTCCATTTTGAGGTCATACAAAATTATTTTGTGGACTTTTTTGATGTTTTGGTTGGTAATAACCTCTTTAGGGCGTCCACTGCGTGCATTGTCATTTCAGCCCATTTAGCCTGAACACTTGTTGACTAGCACTAGACTTTGAATCTTGCCACACATCAATGATTTATTGGGAACAAATTGGCGGAAAATTTCCTTGTGGAAGTAATTATTTTCAAAACAATTTAAAATAGGCATAGGAATTCGTGCTGAAATATATGTGGAATGTGCAACTCGACAAAAGTATGATCGTCTTCTATTCAATCTAATCCAGCCAATTATAACGACACATTCAACATCTACATATTGACAATATTTGCAGTATTTCCCAAAAAGTGAGGGAGACCAATGTCAAAGAATTTTTTGAAAATTTCTATCGAAACAACTCCTCATTTCGTTTTGGCTTTTTCGATTATTCATATTTTGATTGACATGAATCGAAAATTGTAAAGTCAAAAATATGTAATACGATATATATGTAACAACTTACTACTGAATTCCTTTTTACGTAGACATTCTGATGAGTTGTTGGCCTAATGAAAGCGATGTTTTCTCCAATATTAGATGCTTATTGTGATTAATTTTTGCAGCTAGATTTCGAATAATCTCACATCAAAGGTATGATAATATCATTTAGAGCATTTTTCTTCATAAAATTGGTATACAATTCAGTTTTATGTTAAATCCGAGTTTATTTGTCCAGTCATTTTAGGTCGATTTAGGCCTGTATTTCGGAAACTTGACATACTCAGCTGTAAATTTGTATAAACTTTGTATTTTGACATTATAAAAGTATTCTCAAAATTCACATATAATTCGACGGTCGCAACTTCAAAAATCGGGAGTCAAAAGTAAAAAAAAACGACTTTTTGCAAGTTTTTTGCCAATATCTNCTCTATCTCAAAAACGATTCAACGTATGAAAAAATGTTAGAAACAAAAGTTGTAGAGAATTCAATTCTCAAATATTGTCAAAAAACGTGCAAAAAGTCGGTTTTTTTACTTTTGACCCCCAATTTTTGAAGTTGCGGCCATCGAATCGTATATGGATTTTGAGAATACTTTTATGATGCCAAAATACAAAGTTTATACTTTACAGCTGGGTATGTCCACTTTCCTAGGCAAACCTCCTAAAATGACTGGCCTATATATCGATCTTATGATTCTTTAGATACAGGGCATTCTATTTAAAACGACCTACCCTGAGTAACTTTTGATATATACAATGATTTGCAAGAAAAATAAAGAAACACATCAACCATTGTATACAGGGGGACACATTTTGACATATTCACATTTGATGTAGCTTCCCCTATCGCACCCCCAGTGCATGTCATCAATTTTTTTTAAATGGATCACCCAATATTGTTTCGCATTATCAGATGCTGCAGGATGAGCAGATTTCAACAAAGTATAAAACATATGGTCTGAAGCTTATGGTTCGGGAGCTACAAATTATTTGAGTTGAAAATGAGCCATCCTGAATAACTTTTGGAACAATGATTTTCAGGAAAAATAAAAAAACAAAATATGACATATTTTGACATACTCACATTTGATCTAATTTTCCCTATCGCACCCATAGAGCATGTCATGATTTTTTTCAATGGATCAATTGTTTTGCATTATCAGGTGTTCCATGATGAACAGATTTCAACAAAGTTGAATACATCATGGTCTGAAGCTCATAGTTTGGAACCTAAAAATTATTTGAGTTAAAAACGAGCTACCCTGAATTAACTTCTGAAAAATCTGTTACCTACGTTTCATAGGTGTTTTAGTGAAGTATACTTCAAAAAAGTCTTATTTTGCCTAGTTAAGTTTGAATTCAATAGTCTCTTCATTTTGTAGTTGTCTCATTCTACAATAACTATTATCTACCAGGCGAAGTTACAATTGCTGTTTCTGTTTTTGTGAATTCTTGAGAAGCAATGGTTTATACGCTTCGAGAACGGATTGAAATAGTGAGTTTGTACTACCAGAATGGAAATAGTGCTAGAGCTGCTGCCTGTATGTTCATTGATAATCATCCAGGAAGAAATGTACGACACAAATACGTTTCGGAATTATTGAACAAATTTATGAAAACTGGATCTTATAACAGTAAAAAGCATAACCGTTCAGGAGTTGTTAACGATGAAGCTATTTGTACTATTATTTGTAGGGCACTTTGGACTAATGGAAAATTCGCAATCTCTCACTAAGTTATCTCGAGAATGAGCAAACAGTCGTACAAATGTTTTTAGAATCCTCCATAAGTACACATTTCATCCGGATAAGATTAGACTAGTTCATGAATTAAACGAAGATGATTTCGATAGATGTATCGAGTTTTGTGAAAGTCTCACTGAACGGATCAACTTGCATCAGAATTTCTTGTATAAAATTTGTTTTTCGGATGAATGTACGTTTTGTTTGAATAGAGAGGTGAATCGGCAAAATTATCAATTTGTTCGATTGACGACTTATTAATTTTGTAGAAATTCATGTTGAATATAGAATAAAGAAAATACTTTTGTCTAGACTAGACAAAAGTATTTTCTTCATTCAATATTCAAAATTATCAATAATAGAGTGAAACGAATCCTCATTTATACCGTCAAAGTCATACCGAACGACCTCAAAAACTGAATGTTTGGCAGGAATTTTAGGTGACCACATCATAGAATCTTTTTTTTATCGATGATAATTTGACTATTGATAAATATTTGGATATGTTGGAGGATCGAATAATACCGTGCATCAATAGGGCAATTTAGAAGGATTTAAATTTATTCGAAAACGAAATAGTTTTTCAGCAGGATGGTGCACCTCCTCATTATGTAGCTCCAGTGCGACAATTTTGAATGATAATTCTCCTGGTCGCTCGATTAGCAGAAGAGGTCTTACAGAATGACCACCAAGGTCTCCGGATCTCACTCCTGTAGATTCATTTCTATGGGGTCTTTGAAGTCTAATGTGTATGAGATAGAATCAAAAACATTGAAGATTTGACAGAGAATATCATAAGGCATTGCAGAGAAATAAGTCCAGAGATTCTCAACCATGTGAGGGAGGCAATGGAAGTACCACTGTATGGAAGTTGTTGGGAACGTTTTTGAACATTTACTATAGCACATTTTTTTTTCATTGTCCAGTCATCAGATTTTGATTCAAGAATAAATAAAAAATCTCTTTTTCTGATTTATTGCTTCCATGTTTGTCTCTAGAACGAATATTTAAAAATGTGGACTTCTGTATAATTGTTGACCTGTTTTTTAATTTTTCCTACAAATCATTGTTCCAAAAGTTATTCAGGGTGGCTCGTTTTCAACTCAAATAATTTGTAGCTCCCGAACCAGACCATATATTTCAGTTTCAGACCATATATTTTGTACTCTGTTGAAATCTGCTCATCATGGAGCATTTAATGATGCGAAACGATATAGGGTGATTCATTCAAACAAAATTGATTATATGCTCTGGGGGTGCGATAGGGGAAGTAACATCAAATGTGAATAATTCAAAATGTGTTCCCCTGTATACTATGGTTGACGTGTTTTTTAATTTTTCCTGAAAATCATTGTTCCAAAAGTTATTCAGGGTGGTTCATTTTAAATGGAATGCACTGTATATAGTTCAAAAGTTTCTAATGAGAATAATGTTCATTTCAGCACATATTTGTCAACTCAGGCAAGTTCCTGGTTGGACGATTTCAAGGAATGGGGAGACAGCGAAACTTGCTGCAAATATTTCAAATCGACCGGATATTTTTGCCCTCACACTTACGGCTCAGACCAGTGTGAACATTGTAATTTTAATTCGATGAATATGACTCAGTACGAATACTTCAGGAGATATCTGCCCCATTTCCTCAACGACAATCCTGATCCGACTTGTCCTAAAGGAGGGCATGGTCCTTATGCAGGGGTGAGTTTTATTATGTTTATTGATCAGGGCCCAAATGATTTTCTTGGTCTCAACGGCTTCGACAACTTCGGTCATTAGCCTCGTGTTCTAGTTAGACGATATTAATAATGCGATATTGATAATCATAGATATTTGCAGTACGTTAGTCATATAACGTTGCAGAATCATCTCAACTAGATGAATTCTCTAGAGATAAATATCTGGTCGAAGTAGGGATCGAACTGACGAGCTTTTGATCGCGAGTCGGGGGCACTACCACGCACATTAGGAAACACTTAAAAACTACTTCCAATATAAGCGAAATTGATCTGTTAAACTCTATTTTGAAACAAACCAATCTCGCCAAGCTAACCGACTATCGTCCCGATTTTTTTTTTTCAATTTTGTCAAATTTCTTTTTGAATCTACGGTTTCCACATATTCTAAGAGATATTGAAAACTTATTTTAGGCAAAAACAAAATTTTACAACAAAGAATTTGAGAATTTGCAACGCTCAAATTAATGTGGAGATCCATGAACAAACTTTTATACAATAAAATCAATGAAGTCGTAGAAGCAATTATCACAGAAGATGGTAGAAAGACAGAAAATTCCGACCAGATATCCGAATTATTTTGTGATCATTTCACCTGTATTGCAAAAAAATTGTCTGCTTGTATTCCTCCAGTCTTGGCTGAATTTCCTGAATTTAATGTTTCCTCGTCAATTTTCCTGAAACCTATAAATGAAGGAGAAATTGAAGATATTATTTCAAACTTTGATATAAATAAATCATCTGGATATGATCAAATTTCAGTATACGCCTTTAAATATGTAAGATCAGAATTGACCCTAATTATTAAGGAAATAATCTGGTATTTTTTCTAGTAACTGTAAAATTGCATGTGTTTCTCCTATATTCAAATCCAGTAGCAAAAGTGATACGAATAATTATAGTCCCATCTCAGTTGTCCTATATTTCCAAAAGTGAGCAAAAACGTCATGAATAATTGGTTGACAGATTATTTGGAGTCAATAAGTTATTTGTAGTCAGGTCAATATGGCTTTCGCAGATCGAGTGATACTGAGTCTGCAGTAATGGATGTTATTTCTAATATTCAACTACAATTAGATAGAGATATGAAATGTGCTCTTGATTCGCGAAAGGCATTTGCACAGTTAATCATAATATTTTATTGAAAAAATTGAATAACATTGGTATTCGAGGCATTATTCATAGATAATTTGAAAATTATGTATCTAATAGAAAACAGTTTGTGCGTATAGGAAAAAATTGCAGTTCATTCAAAACTATCATTTGTGGTGTTCCACAAGGGTCTATTTTGGGTCCAGTTTTATTTTTGATTCACATTAATTCTGTTTCAAAATTATTGTTGAAAGGAAACATTAAGTTATACGCGGATAACACAACATTACTGTATTTTTCCAGTGGTACTAAAGAAGTTCACAATAACATGATTAATGCCGTTATATTGCCAACTTCGCAAACAATTGTTTCTCACAATAAAATGAAGATCTAATGAAAAATTCAGCCGACTGTTATTTATTCAGCATCTCCAGTGAATCTGCCCCATATATAGCTTGAGGCATCTCTTTTCTTTCATAGAATTTTTATGAGTTGTATATGGAGTGTGATATGTGGAATTAAGTATATGTTTTCAGGGGATGAACTACGTCACTGATGAAAATGGAATTTCTACCGTAATAACGTCTAATATTATGTCATACCATACTGTAGCGACAACTTCTTCACAATTTATAGGAGCGTTGAAATACGCCAGATACATTGCAGAAAATTTGACAAAAACCATCAACATTCCAGGTGTTGAAATATTTCCATACGGGTAAGAAATAATGATTACATAGTGAAACAAAATTTTTCATCCTTGTAGGGGCGGCGCAAAAGGGCGCTGTAATCCAAAATAATGAATGGAACCCTGTATCAATATGCATCTAATTTTGAAGGCTTTGAAAAAACAAATATTTCTGCACAAACAGGAGGTCTGTACGGTAATGAGAATGAGAACAATTTCAAATAATACAACAAAAAATACATTTGTTTATTTTGTGACTTGACCCTCTAGTATTACCCTTTGGTTCAGTTTTTTGTTAACATTGAAAAGGCATCAGTAAATTTTGCGATTTCGTTTCTTTCGATATGGTTCGCTTATATGAAGACAACATTGAAATAATTTCATTTTATCGATAAGCTAATCGAAATCATCATGAGGCCACAAAATTGTTTATTAATGATTTTTCAGTGTAGGTGCAAAAAGTCATTACAACTTTTAGCGCTATCTTGTACAAGAACCGAATGAAGATGACCCAGATCGAAGACTGCAGTTTTGTGAAACTGCGAAAGCATTGAACTTTTGATTGCCCTACAACCCAACAACCTCTATCGGATATGTTTCGCTATGGAGCAAGTTTTTTTTATATGGTTCTATCAATGGACACAACTGCTGATACTAGTGATCACAATCCTTGATGGATTGTGATCACCATAAACAAAATCCTGATAAATTGAATGTTTCAACCGGAATTATGGATAATACGGTCCTCCTGGTATTGTAGCTATTATTGAATATGATTCTTTTGAGTATGACTCAATTTATCAGGGGAATAGGACACGTCCACTCTTTCATGTTCTTGTAAGAGAATTCCTAGATGAGGAATTCCCGGGTCGTTGGATTGGTAGTAGAGGGCATTTCGGACAGCCACCAAGGCCCCCTGACCTCGCTTTCCTTGACTTATCCTTGGAGGATAATGTAAAGGAGCGTGTATTTTTGACAAAACCAACAAATTCGAAAGAAGTATGACAACAAGTCACAGATGTGTGAGTTACAGTAAAATCAGAAATTCTTATTAATTGGGAACGAGTGATTGTATAGACTTCTAGTTTATGCAGAAATGTGTATTTCTTTAAGGCTCTCAAAAATATAAAAAATAGTCCTTCCAAAAAAATTAAACTTTAATAAATCAGAACATAGCCTTCATCATTGTCTCAAACTGTTATTCGAGATATTTTCTTTTATAAAAAATATATAATAAATATACAGTGTCATTCCCAAAGTATGTACCATATGGGAAACTCATTTATTGAGGGTTTATTTTGAAAAATTTCGAGAAATATTTAGAAAAGTTGTTTAGCATTGAAAAATACATCTAGATTTGAAGTCATAGCCATCTAAGTGAATTTTTATTTTTTTACGATTTTCTCTAAATGGGGACTACGAAAAACTAATTTTTGCTAAAACGATAAATAGACAGCATCCTGTATACGACGCTTCATTCAACCCAAAATACTTATTTTGGACAAGAAAATCTTCAAGAAATCAATGAGTTTGTTCAGAAGTACCTACTTTACTTTGATGTTTTGTGATTTGATATTATTGAATATAATTTTGAGTAATTTTCGGTAATAACAAAAAATAAAAATAACTTTGCACCAAAAACTTTGAAAATTATTTACTTTCCAAAAAAATTGACCGTGGTCAACATGACAGTTGTGTAATTTGTAATATCACAGACTTTTGAAATGGACCGTCGTATATAGGATGCTGTATATTTATCGTTTTAGCAAAAATTTGTTTTTCGTAGTCCCCATTTTAAAAATATGGTAAAAAATAAAACTTCACTCAGATGGCCATGACTTCAAATCTACATGTACTTTTCAATGCTGAACAACTTTTCTGATTAATATTTCCCAAAATATTTCAAAATAAGAGTACTTTACTCCTGTCACAAAATCAAATATTTGAAGGCTCCTCGTATATTACGTTTGTTGTACTGTATTTTGTTGGTGCATGTTCAGTTTTAGGGGATGCACAAACTTTTATCAGAAATAACTTTTTGTCGAAAAACCCTTAATAAATAAGTTTCTCATATGGTGCATACTTTGGGGATGATACTGTATATTTACTGTAAAATAGGTTAGCAGCTATCGTATCGTTGATACACTCTGTATGTAGTTTTGAAAATGCTGAATTTACTCTCGTACTCGTACAAATTATACGTACTCGTACAAATTATACGTGCAGAGCTAAAGTTAAGCACTGGAAATGAAGAAATTGGTCTTCTAGACAGCCTTCAATTTTTGAAAAGCACGACGATATCTGGAAGTAAGTTCAGGACATTACACAGTTGCTGCTACAGATGCTGCAATTGGATTCAACATGACTATAACTATAATTCCAAAATAATAGGCACTAAATTCTCAGAAATGACTGACGTTTTTGTCTTAATCGGTCTCTTGCAGTGGGGTACGGAAATTATACTAAATAGATGAGAAAAAATGATGATAAAATATATAGAATCACAACCTCGACAACAATGTAATATACGAGGAGCCTTCAAATATTTGATTTTGAGACAAGAGTAAAGTACTTTTATTTGAACAATTTCGGGAAATGTTATTCAAAATCGTTGTTCAGCATTGAAAAATACATCTAGATGTGTCGTGCATTTGCCAGCAGATTTCCAAATAATCAAAACCAACTGAAAATACAGAGAAAAGAATGATCATCAACTTCGAAAATTATGTTTCCTTCAGAAGACCATTTGACAAAATTAAGGAAGTGGTGGGTAATGAAGTCACTCTTATAAACGTACTAGCATTGTTTTTTGCAGTTTGTGATGCAGGAGAAAGAGATGCCGAAGTCAAATAATAAATTGCATTCAAAACTATACAGAGAAAATTGTTGATTCATAAATGGAATCCATACAGATATAACATGGTGCACTCGTTGAAAGCGGGAGACTATGTGAAACGTATACAATTTTGTGAAGCACTATTATTGAGAAGTCAACGGGGCCCAGATTTCCTGTAAAAATTATTTCGAGCGATGAAGCTGAATTTAAAAAAAATCGACTCTTCAATAGTCACAATAGAAAATAGAAAATGAAAAGCAATATAAATTGTTTCATTTGAAAAACATAACTTTGATACCCCACGCACTCTGTGTATATTGGTGAATAGAAGGTATTTTTTGATATGCTCACTCCTTCATGTCAAAGTTTCAAATTAAGCTCAATATGACACACATTGTATATGTGTTCGTATTTTCACTTTACTTTCATTAAAAACTCCCTCACTTTAATATTCGTAAAATTAGAGCTACTATATGAAAACTTGAAGTCAGAAAGCGTGAAAAAACTATTCAGATTGAGTTTGTGGCAATGCTTGGATTCGTTTATAAGAGAAGAAACTTTGGATGGAAATGAAAAACCGACGTGTTCGAAATGCAAGGAAAGGAGAAAATGCACAAAGTCCCTATCAATCCAACTTAGTAATACATTTAAAAAGATTCTCTCCATTGGAAAGATTAGAGTCAAATTGAATGATGTCATTGAATTTCCTCTAGAAGGATTGGAAAGTTTCTTTGTGCAATTATTACTTATTTTTTGTTAAGTTCTTACATGTACCTGTTTTGTCAATATAGTTGGTTCCTAAAAAAATCAGATTTAAGTATAAACTTTCATGCAACAGTCATGCTACTTTCCTTTGTTATTCATATACAATTGCAACAATGTTTCGATGTCCAACAGGGTGTTCTACGTATACTACGAACAATACCTAACGATTTGGGCTGACACTTTGATGTCCTTGGCATATGCAGTTATTGGTGTTTTTGTAACTCACATGATCTTCACTGGATTCAACATTTTCTCTTCTGCGACTGTTACTGTCACTGTCATTATGACAGTTGCTCATATGATGGGTCTGATGTGGGCGTGGAATATATCACTGAATGCCATTTCTCTGGTGAACCTAGTCATGGTGAGTATAAAATCACAATATATCCATCATCGTCACAATCGGATTGCTATTTTCAAAAAAGAGTAAATGAATCACGCCACATCTTTTCGTAATGGACTTCGCTGACTTAAATGAATGAAGTGACTTCATATCATTTATTGAATTTGAATACTGAATCAAGAACTTTTGCACTTCTGTGCAGCATTGCTTGTTGTGTTGAACTCAGTTAAGTCTATCACAAATAAATTCGAAAATGGTGAAAAACTATTTCGAATTATTAGGTTGTTTACGAAGTTTTGTCCGTATTGATGAGTCTACTTGAAACTGTAATATCTCAGTGAATACCCATTCAATACCCATTAATCTAATCTAAAGAAATGAACGTTCAAGTCATTCTCGAATATACCTACACAGTAGGTTGAATGGGCTGACACCTATCAGAAAACAACTACTCTCCTGGCTAATACCACGAATGGCGTTGGATTATATCCGACAGGCGTCAGTGCAGGAATCTTCACAGAAAATTTCCTGCATATGCAATTGGCAATACAACTGAAAGATTCGACCTTCAATTTTGGAACTATATTGCACTGATGAGTGGCTAATGAGTCAGAAACCGGTCTGCAAGTGTGCGCGTTCCAACGCCTTTCGTGGTATTAACCAGAAAGCAAACCCACTTTTTGAGCTTTTCGATGTTTCCGATACGTTTTAAATCATCAAAAACCGCATGGGGGCTGACGCCCAGATCTTCCGTCATCTTACACATCGTTTGTGATGGGTCAGTCTCCACCAGGGTCCTCAAATCCTGGCTCCGGACTACCGTAGGTCGACCACTTCCAGGCTCATCTTTGAGGCTTTTAGGCTCCGGAACAATATTTCGCAAATCAACGTCGTTTATTAACACTGTAATTGCCAAATGCCTGGTTGATAAAGAAAAGTTCTCCACAAATCGCCTAATGACATCACATAGTAATAAACTGGAAACAGGCAAAAATGAAACACACAGCATCAATGTATAGAGTACAAAATTACTTATCGATCAGTATATACCACCACACAGTAGAATACATATTCCAATAATATTTTTAAATCAAGTCGAATATGCTGCTTCTCTTAGAAAATTCTACCTTTAGTTTGTACCATTTTGAATAGTTATGAAGTTATGACTGTTTCAATGTTATGTAATGATTGTTTCAATCAAAAGGTGAAACAGTTCCTCATTGGCTCAAGTTTCTACACTATTGCAGAATATTTAGACACTCCCCCACATTCGCATGAGAATGTTCAGATATTTAGATTTTTTAATATCTTTAATCGTATTTAAGTTATTGATGTTTTATCGAGTTTGATTGTTCATGCTGTATATTCAGTGTTTCTGACTCACTCCATGATTTCTTTTTTCTTTCTGGTAATACAAATGTAATTTATTTTCAAATACAATTTTTGTAATATGACTTGCTACAATTCTAAATCACATGAGCGTAAATAAATAAAGTATGTGTATGTCTATGAATGTCATTTCGAAACATTAGTTGCTTCTAATGTGATTTTAGTTTATCATCTAATTCATTAGAGTTATATAGTAAAAAATCAGATTTTTCACCGGGAATTTCAATCATCATTTCTGAATAACAACAACTGCTATTTTCAATTCAATGTATAGTTCATGTAAACGATATAGTGCAACCTAATTTCCAACAGTTCCCCTTATATAGTTAGGAGCTAACTGATTTCGTTACTCAATAATCATTTCTGATTATAAGTTTCATTCTAAACAAAAAATGTCTCTTGGGTTTTTTGAACAAAATAAACCAGTTCGCAGCAAAAAATTATTTTAGGAACAACTACAGAGATACATCGTCATAAATGCGAACATACGAAACTGATCTATCTAGTAGGTCGCTATTAGTGATAGTGACAATTAAATTGGTATGACGCTGTCAGTTTGTGAATTTTCGAAATTGAATTAATACTAATTGTGTGTGGTTCTGTTCTTAATTTGTTACTTTAATAATTCACTTGTTATTAAAATGGCAGATATGCATTACGTTTATGGTCTGTCGCAGGAGAATGGGTTAAAAGCTTCTAGAAGATATGATGAAATGTATCCTCAACGGCAGCATCCTTCACATAGAATATTTGCTCGACTTCATCAACGATTACGAGAATATGGTTCATTCGACAGGATTGTGGTCGCCATCGAGAAGTACGAACACCTCAGCTCGAGGAAGCTGTACTCAATTTGATTGAAGAACAACCTACTACCAGTACTAGAAAGATTGCTTTCCAGCTAAATGTTTATCATATGATGGTATTTCGAATTTCAAAAGAACAACTCTTATACCCTTACCATTTGCAACGAGTACAGGCATTGTTACCGCGAGACTTTCCGAACCGTCTTGAATTTTGCAATTGGATGCTGGAAATGATTAGAAGAAATCGTGACTTCCTGAAGACGATAGAATTCACAGACGAATGTAGTTTTTCTCGGGACAAAATTATTAATTTTCATAATTACCACATATGGGCTGATGAAAACCCTCACGCTATTGTCGCAACTAACCATCAAGAACAGTTTTCTCTTAACGTGTGACTCGAAGTTATTGGGGATGATTTATTTGAGCCTCATTTTCTACCTCCCCGATTGAATGGTGAGGCATACGTTCAATTTTTAAGAGAAGTGCATCCAATACTGCTGGAGGAAGTTCCTTTGGGCGTCAGAAGGGATATGTTTTTTATGCATGATGGGGATACCGCCCATTTTAGTCAAGTAGCACGTCACCATTTAACTGAAACATATGCAAATCAGTGGATACGTCGAGGAGGACCACAGAACTAGCCCGCTCGATCCCCGGATCTTAGTCCTCTCGATTTCTCTATTTGGGGCCATTTACAGCATTTGGTTTATCGAACTCCTGTTCGCGATGTAGAGGACTTTAGAAAACGCATCATCGATGCGTGCAGGGTAATCAAAGAGACTCCGGGAATATTTGAGCGAATACGTGGCTCAATGCGCCGACGTCTAGACGCATGCGTAATGTCTGAAGGTAGACATATTGAACATTCACTATGATTTCTACATGTTGTGTGATTTGTTATTGATGAATTAGTTTTGTTAATTGCCTTTCAATCGTTTAATGCAGGTACTAACTACGAAATAACAATTAATCCAGTTCGCATTTATGAAGATGTATCTCTGTAGTTGTTCGTAAAATAATTTCTGTTGCGAACTGGTTTATTTCGGGCAAAAAACCCAAAAGACATTTTTTGTTTAGAATGAAACGAGCTATCGGAAATGAATTTTCAAATGGTGAACAAATAATAAGACAAAAAGTTACATTGGAAATACATTTTAGAAGTTGCGTTTTCCACCCCTTACAACCATGTGGTAAACCAAATAAATTACTGGCTAAGTGTCTTTTTGGTAGTACAAAACGTCAGGTCAATTTCAATATTGCAACTTTTTCAGTGCTTGTGAAAAAAATTGTTATACAAATTTTATGTACCCCCTTTAAGGGGCTGTATCTTCAAAAACACTTCACTAATTTTTTTCTAAAGCTTCTGATAATTCCTCTTCCATATTCTCTGTTTCACTATCACTGTCGTCATTCAAATCAATAATGAATTTATTTCAACGAATTATATGGAAGTGTGCAATCTCCATATAGTCTTTTTAAACTTAAATTACTTTTTCAAATATTTTCTGGCAGTTTTCTTCGGTAATATTACATATTTCTTCTTTAATTACCTCTGATACGTCTTATCAAATTTTGGAAAATTATTTTTACGCCTGAAGCTTTATTTCAATTTTCCCCAAATCAACTCGATGAGATTGAAAACACAAAAATAGGGGGAAAGTCTCAGTATGGTGCGTTCATACTTTTCAGCAATACTTTGAAAAGCATACACTTTTTCGAATGTTTTCATCTGTAAAATTTTAAGTAGTTGGTTTTTGGTATAGTAATCTTCAAAATACAAATTGTCGCGAATGAAAGGCAGCGTTGTTCAGAACTATTATACTATTACTATGAGATCAATGTGGTTTCAAGCCATTTTTTGAAAATATGAGCTTCCTTGTTCTTATGATAGTCAACATTGCAGTCCTCAAGTTTTTATCCACATCAGTTCGAAAATTCGGAACCCATCCTTTACTTCCTCCGCAATGCACAATGATTAGTCGCGATCCTTTGTTTGCATGCATGTTAGGCGTACATATTCTCGAACCATCAGTCTACCATTTCGTAACTGTGTCGTGAGTGTCATACCAAGTTTCGTCCACATAGAAAATTTACCGTCATTCTTCTCTATATTTAGTTATTTGTTCTAAGTATTTGTTACGCAATTTCAATATTCTTCTGATTGACATTTGTTTATTAATTTAAATCTGAAGCCTAGTTTTTTTATCCAATTCTGAAGAGTTTTGTCACATCAGCTTACGTTATGGCAGGAAGTGTTCAATTTCTTCTTTATGATTTCAGTTGTAGGAATCTTATTGTTTTTGTAACAGTCGTATATTGTTTTTTTCAATGATTTTATTAGATGTTATCAGATGAACATCTATTCTGAAGGTTTTGGTAATCCTGTATCACATCGCATTTTGCGTTCATAAGGTTTGTTTTTGACTATTTTACGTACAGTTGTGACAGGAATTTCGGTCAAATGTGACATTGCTTATGCTCAAGTTTTGTTTCCTCGAAACCAAACTTGAGATGTAGATTCTAATATACATTGAAACATACTCTCTGTTTCTCAATATTCAAATGCATCCGAATCTTATTCACTGGTATTTCTTTTTCGCATCGTTCACCATCACTATTGGAATCACTACACTAGAAAAAGTCTGCGTCGTTATCACACTCGTTATTACATTAGTACTTGTTCAAGGACGCCACATTTCAAACAGATGACAATTTTAGGTTATTATAACTACACCAATATCGAATTTTAACACTCAAATCGCGATCAGTTCCTGAACTGAACATTCATGACACGACGACGTCGTTCATTCCCCGATTTCTATTCGTCATCGTAACATGACTTCAAATTTAATTTTACGGCACGGTTAGTAAAAATTAACAAATACGAACTGCCAAGTCTACAGTCCACGTGGACTAGTTCGCTGCCGGTTCATTTCTATGTATTGGTTTTTTCGGCCTTTGGGAGTGCCTTCACTTTTAAATGTGCACAATATCGTTTACTTCGACTATAACTGCACTATCGTTTTCGACGATTTTCTAAGTGAGCATTTACAACACAGTTAGCTGAAATAATACTTCCACTTTATTGAAATCCTCAATCGTTTTTCAGAGTGTTGGAATTGGTGTCGAATTTTGCGGTCATATTGTACATTCTTTTGTACACTCCACGAAGGAAGATCCGACAGACAGAGCTGCTGATGCCTTGGGTGATATGGGGAGTAAGGTAGGCACATTATAATAATAGGTTTTCAGTTTGTATGGGTTCTTTTAAAATCAGAGCTAGGCTCACCCAACACCAAATTTAATTTCCAACCGAGTTTAGACAAGGAACTGAAACAGGTCCGAATAGTGAGCGCATAACATATTATGAAATCATAGTAGCACCATTAGAATTGAAATACAGGAACTGGGATCTCGAAAAACTCCGAAGTGATGATATAAAGTCGAAGTTGCTTTAATATATGAGATGCTCAGACTGATTTATATCCAACATTTAGTTTGAATGAAAACAGGGACAAAGGTAGCATTGATGCTGCCTAGAAGCAGTTACTGAGAAAGATAGGTGCTGAAACCAGATATGATATTTTGGCTATACTCAGAGGTGGTTGAAGGCATTATCACATATGCTTGTTTGGTTCGATGATAAAGATGGAAGATGCGGTTGCTGTTAAGAAACTAGGCAGGTCGCAAATACACAGCAGCACTGTATCCACTTTACTTCCTTCATAACTTGTGAAACCAGAAAATTCACCGAAATACAAAAGATCCGGCAAAATTGAAATTCTGGAAAATGTGTTCACATATCTGATGATACTTACGACAAAAACTTCACGATTTGAACCACACATGTTGGAGGGTGAATGGTGAACAGTCATTTCGACAAAATATGCATATATATATATAGACTGTTAACATACAATAATTTTTTTGAATCAATAAATAAATAATTAGAGACGATAACAACACCCCTTCCGAGCACTAGAACTCTACTTGTGAGGTAAAGGGTGAGATGAATGAAAAGATGAAAATATCAAAGCTGATTCTGTAAGCGAGATAGGCAAACGAATGTTTTTGACAAGATTGTAGGCTTTCACGGCTGGCGACAATGTTTTGATTGGCTTCCGAATTTTGCCGTGGTCTTTTTTGGTTATAATCTCCAAACGTTTCAACTGCAACTGCGGCAGTCATCTTCAGTGGCGTGGTCGAAGTACTCTTCTTGACGCGTCAACTGAAACCGAAGCTCTCCCCCATGCCCCCTCCCGGGTTGAGTGCCCTGAAGTAAAAGCTTCGCCCCACAACTAATTTGAGAGGATGGAAACCTCCACTTCATCCACCCCGCTCTCCGAGCGGTCCTCAACTTACTGATTGGCATTTCAGCAAGATTGACATCTGACCTCTTTTGATCGAAAGTCAGCCTTTAGGTGCTTATACTTTCTGATCGGTTATTTGTTTTTATCATTACTATTCCTAACTGAATTTTTGCATGGGGTCCCCAAAAACTAACCTGCGGCTATTGTGTTTAGCGTCTAGCATTCCTCAGTGAATCTAAGGAAAAGTGAATCGCGGTCGCGGTCGAATTGTTCTGCGTTGAACCTACCTGAAAGACAGTTTATGTGATTAGTTTTATGCTTAGCTGAGTCGCCTGACGGCGACTCGCGGGGGTGGTCGTTGGTTTTGCTTTGTCGGCCTTGGATGTTTATCCCTTTCTCGGAATCTGGGGGCATCCATGTTCAACGCATCGTGTAGTTCGGTAGCGCTGGGTTGTTGTGCGATCTGATTCTATCCTCGGAATCTCTTGTCCGTTGAAGGTGACGTTGCCTTCCGGTTGTACAAGCCTGCGAGTGAACAGTATCGCATGACTCTTGTCAGGGTTTATACTGAGTGGGTTGGCCCACTCCTCTGATCTGTCTGCCTGTTGCTGCAAATGTCTCGTGACATGCGCTTGGCTCGTAGATCTCATCAGCAGGGCCGTGTCGTCCGCGTAGAGCGCCAACTTGTTCAAGTTGTTCTCTGGCTTGGGTACGTCCGCTGTGTATACACTCCTGCTTCCAGTAGTCGAATTGTTGAAAATTCATCTCCTACTCTGCAACGGCATTGCCTGTCAGCTAAAAAAGCTCGCTCATCTTGGCCAGTAGTCCATCATGCCAAACTCTGTCGAACGCCTTGGAGACGTCTAAGAAGATGGCTCCGGTATTGTATCCTTTGACGAGGTTGAAGCCTTCCGTCGCAAAGTCTACTACCCTCAGGACTTGTAGCTCTGTTGAGTGTTCTGATCTAAAACCGAATTGTTCATCCGGGAGGATTCCTAGCTCTCTGGTTTATTCTTCGAGTCTCTTCAAGATGACACGCTCCGCCACTTTGCTTATGGAAGTCAGTGAGCTTATTGGCCTATGATTATCTGGTAACAGGTGGTTCTTCTTGGGCTTCGGGATGTGGATAACCGTTGCCTCTTTGAGCATGTACGGGAAGTGCTGCAATCTGAATATAGCATTTATGATGTTGGTTATGGCTGATTGCGCAGTAGTACTTTCAGTGCCCGGTTTGTTATGTGGTCCGGGCCTGGTGCTTTCCGAGTGGATAGACGTCTTAGGATGTCTTTCACTTTCTCGGGAGATGTCGGGGCCAGGGGTTGCGCGTTGTCCGTTCGTTGTCTTAACCTTTGTACCGTTCTTTTCACCTGTCTCTCTATTTCGTGTACCTCTTCCGTGAACGGGACGTCGTTCTCTCTGCACTGCCTTTCGAAGTTGTCCGCGAATGCGTCCGCCTTCTTCTGGTCAGTGTAGACGATTCCTTGCTCGCCGTGTATTGGCGGGCATTGCTGTCGAGGTCAATTCCTGAGTACTTTTTGCATTCTCCATGCAGACTGGTCTTCAGTGTTCAGTTCTTCTAGACGGGTAGTCCATTGTCTCTCTCGGATAGTTTTCAGTTCTTCTTTTGTCCATATGCGCGCGTGTCCTGTGGCATCGTCTTTTCAGGCGTCTTCTTATTCTGATCAGTTCCATCGTGTCTGGTGGGAGCTGTTCATGGAGGTTGAATCGTGGGGCTGGGACTTCCCGTGCACTTCTTTCCATCGTTTGGGTGATCTCCTGCTGCAGCTGGTGTGTGGCGTTCTCCAGATCCGTTCTTGTTTCGATGCTTGGTATCTCACCCATCGCATCGTGTATGACGCGCTGGAATCCCATCCAGTATATGATTCGTTTTGTTGGGTTGTCTGCTTCCACTTCACCTCTTCCTATTGTGAATAGGATGGGGTTGTGGTCTGACGAACCTTCGTCTAGTACTTCCCATCTCCGTAGTATCGATGTTCTGCACAAGTGCGACTGAAGCTCTCATTTCTGCCGTGTCATTTATAGTGCTGATTTTTCACGCACTTTCACTAGTGGCAGGTTCGCGCATACTTTCCGCGCGATTTGGATGACTTGGCTTCTTTTTGGCGCATTTCAATGCCACCAAAGATTTTGCACACAACATTGAAAAGCGCCGAAACGAAGCCAAGTCATCCTGTTTATTCAAGCAAAATCTGACTTGCTCTATAGTGGAAAACAGAATGTTGATCAAACATAGACCCCCAATGTTCAAGGTTGCCAAGGTTGCCCTTATTGCCAGAAATATAAAAAAAATTCTTTTCACAATTATTAATCACAATCAATGAGTTTACAATGAGGAAATATACAAAGCACAGTTCTGTGACTTCGAAAAAGAGTGCCTTAATGTGGAATATAAGGAAAAATATCTTGTAAAACATTTGTAGTGGTTGAATAATAATAATATGTAGGTGTTTGAAATGAATTACCGGAGTGTAGGCACATATGTAAAGTTTGTACTCGGTAATGAAAACCTGAAGTAACGAAACGAATTTGAAATGAGATGACTCATAGGCATAAATATTTTTTCATTTCGATATGCTTACATAGCCCTTCAGTTCAATGTGATCGGTTTTCAAGTAATGTAGGTATATTAAATACATTTTTCACTTGCAGGTATTCAGTGGTATTACTTTAACCAAATTTGTTGGAATCACTATCCTTGCCTTCGCAGATTCTCAAGTATTCCGAGTATTTTACTTCAGGATGTACATGGGCATTGTCGTGATTGGAGCGCTACACGGACTTGTATTTTTACCAGCTCTGTTGAGTTTTCTGGGTAAGAAAAAAATAATTACTTTCATTCATTCAACTTTCATAGAACTTTCAGTTGATACCTGATGAAGACCGATTAGTTCTCAGATGGTTTTCCTCAAGTTTGTTGAGCAAAAGTGAGGACTCGCTTGATGTAAAGAGAACCTGCTCATCCATAGATGTGTAACGCAGGACTCGATACAGTATAAGCGTCACCTCTCTATTGCCTGGATCGATTACCGCAAGACATTTGTTGAAACGTCGCATGAGCTCATCGTGCATTTGCTCAGATGCCTTGCGGTATCAGACGAAATAGTGAGATGCCACTCTAGCGGACTCGCTTCACCATAACATCTGGTCAAGTCAGAGTCCAAACAGGATGGGCCATTTTCAGAAGGGGTGTATTTCATGGTGATTCTTTCAGTCTTCTTCTCTTCTGCATCTCACTATCCCTATTATCCGTTGCGCTCAGAAATACTCGAGGGTATAACTGTGGCACCCATGGAAACCGGGGATGCCTCTGGATAGATGGATGTCTATCAGTCCTTGAGGGTGATATCGGTATGAAATTCTGGATGGACAAATGTGGAAGCATCCTACACCATTGGGAGACGTATACTCACTTCGGGGTGGAACAACGGATCCTTCTATTTCGCTGAGGAACACATATCCCAATATCTGAATGTGAATATATAGGTTGTCAATTTTGAAACGTCCCATTGCTACGCCCCTGTGGGTATTATCAAACCTATTAGTGTAGAAGACTCTCCGGCTAACTCAATCTCTACAAGGAACGAACATACCTGTATCGAAATATCTATTCAGCAGACCTTTCTATCATGTAATCGGTAACCAGGATGCAGATGTCAAGAGTTTCTTACCTTCCCGATTAGGGATGGCTGTATGGGGGAAAGAAATAGGTATCCCACTCAACCACATTAATAGTGAAAATTACCTTACTAGCTGAAAAAAAAGATCTATTGTATGTGCGAGGTCAAACAAGAATAAAGCAAAATGGCTCAGGAGATCAGAAGTTTATGTGCTACCTAGGCCGGAGCTTGACGGCTTGTTACCATAAAATAAAAATTGAACGTTTAATACTGTACACAAAAATAAACTAAAAAGTTATCTCTCAAAAATAATTTGAATCTTGGATTCTCGATCCTTTTGTCTAAATCTTGAGATACTTACTATGTCAATACTAGACTGAGTAGAGACTTGAAGCAATTGCTGAAAGCGTACAGTTAGTCTTGGGAAAAGCTAATATATAAACTCTTTCTTAATATCCAAGAACACTCAGATTGTAAATCACTCTTATGATAAATACTCAAAATAGTCATATTCAACACTGTAAAGAGATTGACAACGAATACTTAGGTAGCCTTCTGATGATCTCATGCCATCACTTCGACTTCAACTTCAGCCTTCTGTTTTTCCTCTTCAAGGGTAAGTAATACAATATTCCCTAGACCAGCAGTAACAGCAAAAAGGAGGAGAATATGGTTGATGAAAGAATCCACCATCTCAAGATTGACTAACCTCCTAAAGGGACAGCCCTATCGCCATTCCATGAGTTCCGAAAAAAATCTTGGAGTCTCTTATATGAACCTCAAATCTACGTCTGATTAAAGTTATTCTCAAATTATCTTTCAGGTAGAAACCAAATAGTAAAAATTAACGACTCATTTAGTAATCCACTACCCGTTACCATTGGCGTCCCTCAGGGAACAGTGATTGGACCCATACTTTTTTTAATATACATCAATAACATATTTAAATGAATACTGTACTATATAAATATTATATATATATATCGTAATACCGCTGTGAGAATCACATCACAAGCTTGCTTAGGTGACTCACAGTGGTTTATTACCTCTTTCTTCTTTTTTCCCCTTTTTGTAAAATTTTCTCTGTAAATTACCTGAATTACCTGAATAAATTACCTGAAATTACCTGAATTACCTGATTTGACTAGGTTGATTCATACAACTAATAAACAACAAAAAAATCTGTGAAACAAAAGAGAAAACTCTCATGATCGTGAAATGTATAAAACCAAATAACTTACCTCGACAGAGTCGAGATTTTTTTATATGCAGAAGATGGCCACGTGAACTAGTTACCGGAATCAGGCATGTACAACAAACCTTCTTAAATCATATTTTCACTGACTGCTTCCAGACACAATCTGTTTCTGTCTGTTTAAAATCTACAATGAACGGATTATTTCCACGAAGGGTGAAATCCCGCATCTACCAACGGACACTCCAAAGTGATATTACCCTAACGTTGGACCAGTTAACTTTTTTCCACCAGCGACCTATATCTTCACCACCTATTCTCCCTCTAGATCAAGCAATCCTCTCGGAAGTGATCTATAACCCTGACGTTTTTCCGTCAGTGCCTACCAAAAAAACAAAACTAAAAATGAATATATTTACAAATTACAGGAACGTAATAAGCGACAAATCACAAAACCTATTTTCTAAAAGAATTCTTGCCATTCAGTATATGATTCGATTCCTATTTACAATATAATGAACAACCTTTTCTTATGCACAATTTCTTATCAGGAAACATCTCATTAAATATGATGTTCATCACGTGTGAAATAACAAATAACTCCATCAAGAGTTAGTCCGATCCTTATCTGCTCTAATGGACTCGACAATCGACTTCGAGACTACAGCGCAGTTCTGCCAACTGATAACATTGCAGTTAAGGTACGTTCTACAAACAACACCTCTAGATAGTATCGCTTCGCGAATACTGTTCAACCAATGACTTCGTTTATTTGGTTGAAATCACATATTACCAACTACCCCAATACAAAGAATGTGTGTGTTCTGTTAGACACTAGTCTAGCTAAAGACAATAAATAGCATTTCGAGATTATAACCAGAAATATTTGGAGTTACGATTTATAACCGTAACACCATCTTCTCTATTTGGCACCTGAAGAAAAGCTGAAAATATGCCAAAAAACCTCAAAATTATTATAATTATTACGATTTCAGATTTTAGAAGAACTCGCATCTGAAAATATATTTTCCAAATTTGAACCTCCAGGAGTTGCACACATTGGTGGGATCTGAAATGATACAATCTATTGAAATAGCTCTAAAGATAAGTTTCAAATCCACTAATCCAAAGAAAGAGGTTTTGGAAACCTTGATGTCTAAAATTTACTTATTCCAACCCTTGGTAAAATTATAGAAAAATTGGTAAAAATTAGGTTGATGAATTTCATATCTGCCAACAAAATCTAAAATCCTCAACAATTTGGCTTTCAATCCAAAAAGAGGATGCAATTTTCCATCTGCTAAAAAGACTTTACTCTGAGTTGAACCTGAAAAAGAAATGCGCAGCAGTCTTCTGTGACTTGTCGAAAGCTTTCGACTGTGTGAACCACGAAATTCTGCTACGCAAACTCCAACACTATGGTTTCAGAAATCAAAGCCTCAACTGGATGAAATCATATCTGAGTCAAAGAACCCAAGTTGTGAGAACTGACACACTGTCAGATATTGTCCCTGTTAGACACGGAGTACTCCAAGGCTCGGTACTGGGGCCAATATTGTTTCTGTTGTAATTCAATGATCTAGCTTATATTGATTCTAAGGGAACGTTCACAATTTTTGCAGGTGATACAACCATCCTGTGGCATGACACTAATGAAAATGATCTTCACAACAAAATAGCACAAGATATTCTTAAATTGAGAGAGTGGTGCAACTCCAATCTGCTATCCTTCAATATAGAAAAAACCAATCTGATATCATTCACTTGCAACTTGTCAGGCATTCCGATGGGTAATGATATTATATCAAACAAAAAACTAAATAAATTTCTTGGAATCAATCTGGACAGCAACCTCAATTTCAATAACCATATTAATTTGCTGAGCAAAAAAATAGCTTCGGGATGTTATGCTTTACGAACGGTGAATGTATAGTTATTATAGTGAAACTCATTTATACATGATTAGCTTTGTCAACGAGTTTATACTTTGGACAATAAAGCATATTTGATTTGATTTGATTTGATAAATTCATCAATTCAAGGCCTTCGACACACATATCGGTCAATCCCAATGAGTCAGAAGCTATCACACCAAATCATTTTCTGTTGCTACGACTAAGTGATGGTGGAGCTATCCAGCAGAAACCAATGAAGAATTGCACAAGCTTCAGCAGATGCGTACTGGAAACGATGGGTAACTTAATATAGACCAACACTCCTTCAGAGATACGAATGAAAACATTAAACTAATCCAATTAGAATTGAAGACATAATTTTGATTACGGAGGAGAAAGCACCTAGGAATCAGTGGATCATAGGAAATATGGAAAAAATGCTGTCGCCAAATTATATTCTTCCAGTCAGAACTTGATATATTAACCTGGTAAAGTCTGCTTTTGGATAGAGAATGTTACATACTGAATTTGTGTTAGTTCAGATTTTGAACAGTATTTGAAAGTTACTGAAAAAATATGTTGGTGTAGTTTTCTTTGGGAGATTCTCACATTTTCTATATGAAGATGGAGAAGCAGAAAGCAAAAACTTTTGTTTCCCAATAGCAAAACCTATTATAATATTGTCATCTTGTTTCAAAAATATGTGTGTACTCATATTTTGTGGTTTATTGAAGTTGAATAAATCTGAAACTGATAGTCATAGTTTACGATCCAAGACAATCCAGTTCTGTATACTATAATGAAATTCACCAGAATGTATTGAGATGCGCGAAATCTGTTAGGTTCCACTACGAGGTTTCCAGCATCTGTTAAAATATGTCTTTTGAAATCTGTATATATCCAATTCCATAAGTATTCAACGTCAAAATTAAATATTCTTACAAATGTCTTTATGCAGGTTGGTGACTTAGAGCGCTCGTACACGAGCCACATTTTGCGGTCGGATCGACCACACAATTGCATTCGCGTTCCAGCGAACTCAAGCCGCCCATAAGAAATACTGTACTACACGTACACGGGCGTTCACAAAAGTCAAAACGGGCGTCTGCAGTCAACTTGCTGCTGATCTCCGCGAGATGTCATCGCGGCATCTGCCGTACACTAACCACAAACTTGCAGTCGTACCCAACCGCGTACACCGTCGTGTACTTTTCCTCATATTGGTCTCACATTATTCAATTTTTTATTTCAAAATTCCAAATAATTCATCAAAAGAACTAATGGACATTCTGAAGTAAAAAAAAAACATTGTTTTCGTCTTGCCGGAGTTTACCGGTTGTTGCTTCATTGTAATTTCAGGTTTTTGCTTAATAAAATTGTTTCTTCAGCTAATCTTTTAAATTTCTCCACAGATTATTTCAGGGATTTCAAATCAGTTTATATCATATCAGACAATGGAGGTTCGAACTAATGAAATACACCACGAAACATTGTCAACCACCTTCAAACAAAGTATAAACATTTCCTTCATGTTGTCGCGCAACTAGAACTGAATGTAACCAAAAAGATCGTACCTTCCTACGTCTTCTTCTTCTCCTCAAAATAAGAAGTTGTAGTGCTTCTTTTTCGAAATTCATATTGAAACTGGCACTAAACTCTGACACCACAAAATATAGATGTCAGTTGCCTCAACTGCAAGTGCGGTTTATATGACCCCAAGTTGACCACAAAAATGTGGTTGGGTCATCCGCGAAGTGCAGTCAACGTGGCCACAATGTTGTGGTTGCCTCAACTGCAAATATGTGGTGAGTGTACGGCCGGACTTACTGAAAGTCGCGTCAGTTTTTTAACTTATAGAATATCTGCTTACGGAAGGAACTTTGTAAAGACATACCATATGATTAAACTTCTCAAATATTAGTGATCATATTGATAAAAAAGTACAATTTTAAAGAAAGTAAACATTTTGAATTGAATGAATATGGCGGTCCAATTGGATTTGTCGATATTTTTGACACGGCAACACCTCCTAATGTTGAATAAAGTGGCTCCATTCCATTTATTCATGTGACAAAATCACAACAGTCTTGGGCGAGACGGGTTAATAATTATTCAACCATCCTTGTTATTGAATTTCACAAATTATTTTCTCTTTTCAGGTATGTTGAAATATCCCACCATCAAGTTGTTAAAAGAATGAAACTGCAAAGAGAATAATGCATCCAGTGTCAAATAAATCAATTCAAAATCGAACATGAGCAATAAGAACTACTTGGTACTGAAAGTGAACTAACAAAAAGAAATATTTCTTTTTATGTTTATGTTAAGTTTCAAAGGTGTTTTCCTTCGATCGTGAATATGCTATTAATTTTTCTGTAGGCATGTTGCCATTTGACTTTAGCCATGAATAAAAATTTGTAATCTTGAGGTTACTTGTAGTTTCTATCTATTTAAACTCGATCAAATAAATTTAGCTTCTTAACGAAGCAGAGTACATAATTTGGTGATCATCTGAGTAGGACTAAACCATCTGCTGAAAATATGATCTGGGGCCTATAACACAACCACTACAAGTTTAACAAGTGTATAAATAAATTATACAAGTGTAGATATTCTGTAACATAGAGTAACTTGTAATTACTAGTGGGGCACTGGTTATTATGGGACTGTCTCTACAATTGTAGTATAACCTATCTTGATTGATAAATAGATTGAGCGTACTAGTGTAGTGAAGTCTTTCATCGTGAGCGTATATCTATAATTCAACTATCGATATGTGGTCAAGCGATTCGGATAGTGAAAACGAAAATGGTCGTGCAATATATCGCTATCGGGAGAGAAGTAACTTTGTCATACTGACAGACGGGGAATTTGTGGAAAGATCCAGACTTAGTCGACAACACTGTCAAAGTCTTCTTCAAGATATAGGTCCAGCCATAGCGAATATAACGATTCGAGGGCATGGCTTGTCACCAATACAGAAACTGCTTATTGCTCTGCATTGGTTTGGAAACGGAGGGCAATACCATGGAGTATGTGATATGCATGGAGTATAAAAAATGACCGTATGCAGATATGTTCACGAAGTTACTGCTGCCGTAAACGAAATAAAATTTGATGTATTAGTTCGATGGCCCGACAATTCAGGGAACGTAATAGAACGTTCTCATAATTTGGCAGGATTTCCTAAATTTGTGGAGCTGTAGTTGGAATCCTCATAAATATCGATGCCCCCACAAACAACTAACCTGTTTACGTCGATCGCCATGGAAAGCATTCCATCAACTGCATGGCTGTATGTGGGCCTGTATGTGGTTTTATTATATAAGTGCAAATTGGCCCGGAAGTGTGCACGACGCGCGGGTACTCCGTAACAGTTCTCTGTTACGTAGAATGGAAAACGGTTGGAGACCTCATGCAAATGTTGTCATTCTTGGAGATTCCGCTTATCCTTTGGGTGAACGGTTAAATCCACATCCGATGAACCCAGCGCAGACCGCATTCGACAGAGCTCATAAACGGACTTGACGCATTGAAGGACAAATTTCCATGTTTGAACCACCTACGAGTTGATCCAGCCTTCGCAGCAAATATTTTTAAGTGTTGTGCAACATTGTGCAATAATACAAAAATTGATGAAGATGATAATATGGTATTAACTGGTGATGATGATGATCAAGATGACGAAAACAACCTCAGAGATAACGAAGCACCTCCACTAGCAGCATCAGCTCGAGCTAGAGTTCAACAGTTTATAGATTATTTTAGGATAAATAATAAGCGTGAAGAAAAAAAATCAACTTCAATTAATTAAATATGTAGGAGAATATGATTGTTTTTTACGAAACTGAATGTGGTACGCTGGTCCTCTCCATAGGAAATGTAGTCTCTTGCAAAACTTTGTGCAAATTCGGATCTTGGAAGGTTTAGTGCAGTTTCCAACTGTGAAATCTCTAGTTTGGTCTTGTGATTTTGCAGTTTCAGGTGTTCAATTTGCAAGTCAAGTTTAACATTTTTTTTGTCTGAAATTTCTTCTTGACGTGTCATGCTACGCTTCTGTTTTCTTGAAAAATGTAAACTGTGTGGTGGTAATTGGCGGATGTGAACTATTAGATAAATAATCAGTTGGTGTTTGTTTAATAAAGAAAAATACATAAAACATTTTAATTAGTAGTTTCTCACAAACCAAACTTTAAAAAAGCCATTACTAATAATGTTTTATAAAGTAGGACTAATAATGTTTTATAAACTTTACCTATGCGGCTGGTTGAGGGTACGCCCGGGTCCTGCGTTAATATTCTTGGCTGTTCTGTTGTTGTGCTGTCTTGAGGTAGCGGTTCTGCATCGTCCACTTCGTCCAATGATGCTGGTACCCCAAGACCTACAATCACTGGGGACTCTTTTCCTAATTAGCACCATATTATCGACATCGTTCAATTTCTCATGACCGCCTGTACCCGTTTTTCTGGCATTATCCACTTTTCCCTTAAAATAAAAAGCATATTTTGGATAAAATATTATGAATCAGGGCCTATGATTCTAATTCATTTCCATCAATTGAAATATTTCAATTATTGAGAATTGACACGTACGGTTGCCAAGCTTAAACATAATATTTTGATTCCAACAATATGCACTTGCCTATTAATATTGAAACACCTCGCATGAGTTCAACTAAATCATAAGAGTAACAAAACTAGTACACTACGCTCTTACGTACGCTTGTAATTTTCTTCATATTTTGCCATAGTGTGTCTCTGGCATATGTCCACTCTTTATCTGAAGGCATTAAACAAACACTTTTTGCAAAATTTGCTAATTCTTTCCATTTCTCAACTTTGCATGTGTTTTTCAAACAGTTGGAAAAGGCGCCGAATAGAATTTCATTATTTTCTTTAACTTTTTGTAAAAACTGCATTTTCCTCTCAAATATTACTTGTTTGCTAGCCATAGCTACAAATTTTATTTCACTTGCAGTCCTTGCACTAACACGAAAACACGTTAAGACGTGTTACACCACGAATCGCGTTACCGAAAACAGCAGGTAAATAAATAAATTGTCTTGTAGGAACAACATATACAAGTGTAGAATATTTTACTTGTAGCTACAAGTATATGAAATTATCTTATGTTACGAAAAATTAGGATACTTGTAGCTATAAGCGAATTACTTGTAACTTACAATTGTAAGATTTGTGTTATAGGCCCCTGGTCGCGGCAAGGCAGGAACAGATTATGTGCTCTGCAATCAGGGCTTGAAATTTTCTTGTGAAAAATATGTACTATAGAGACCTCGACAGTGCTACTGTTTGTACCTTTACTTCGACTATTTGTACCTTCTACATTTGAATATAAAATGTAATAAACTCTACTAAATTCTTTCTCATCCGATGGCCATGGTGGTCAGGACTACCAGTCATTCTTGTGTCTAATTCTCATCTGAAACTCGGTATTTAAATTCATACTTAAAATTGAAATAATATGAAGAACGCCTAATTTTCACTTCTTTCAGTTTGAGCCCTAGTTTTGGAAGATTTTTAAGATAGATTGGGAAGAAATTCCAGTTCAATTCTAGTTCAAAGGGAAATTTCAAAGCCGTTATTCATTTGAATAATTCTCAAAAATTCCTAACACAGAAACGAAGAGCTGTATAAAAAACACTGAAATATTATCTGTTAAAAACGAATAAACAGAATTATGAATAACATTGGACGAGAAACAATTGATGATGAATTTCTTCAAAGAGAAAAAGCAAGATCAATAACTTTGTTTCATCTATGGTGATCGGGATGGGTTTAACTGCCCTTTCTCGAACACGGGGTAGTTATAATCAACTTCGATACTAGTGGACTGGATTCCTTGTAGGTTGCTGGCTTTGAATAAATTGACGCTGAATCAGTTCGTTAACTAAATATATTTACAATACTCAGCAGCTACCATCTCACAAAATCGTAGGACATACAAGTAACATTGGGCGTTGGCAAAATGCTTCTCATAAGATAGTCTGTGTTTAAATTACTTACAAAACGTTTCCTTCTTCAAGACACACTATGCACAATGTACCACTAATATATGCAAATTCACTTTCCTTTACTTATTAACTTGGAAAAAATACAAACGCCGAAATTATTCGAGCGTCGTGGATAAATTGAAAAATGAAGAGACTAAATCTCAGTAGGAGAAAGAAAAGTCAGTTAGGTTTCACTACCTCGGAGGACAATCTCGGAATGCGTTGTACCTCTCTCGGTTCTTTTTGGGAATTTTTAATCGCCACATGTCGACCGATAAGGGAAAGGGGCGATGTTTCTGGAATTCTGGGAATTCGTTGAAGGAAGGTTTACAGATGTAGGAGTTGGAAAGCAATAAATGAATTGACAGAGCGCGTTCAGGGATGGATTAAGCACAATTTAAGTTGGAACTGAATAACTAATAAAGGATCAGAAGAAGCTTGTTGGAAACTGTGTTTCCAACATATGGATTAGTTATGGAATTAACTTCACTTTATCAGTAAGTCACATTTTTTGGAAGAAATCTTAATGGTAAATGAAATATTTTGTTTTCAGATGACAAATTTGTTCACGCAATCATTAGATATTAAGCTGTTATAGGCTCTCACTATGAATTATCGCGTATATTGATAGAAGATTTTGGTAAGCCAATTAATTGAAATTACTCGAAAATCTGGAGGTCTCAAACAATTTCTTTCACACAATTTCTTCAACTTATCGGTATTTCAACAAAAAAATCCGGCGCTCGCTATATGCCATATTTCTCCGGTGGCTGCCGACATACTTTTTTGATTTTTTTCCCATTTATTTCCTATAGGCTGATTTTTTTGAACAATTGTTTATTGTTAATCTTGTACGAAAATCACGTCATACCATTCCGACGGTCCAAAATACCCGCCACACCCCCTCAAACATGTCATTTTTAAAAATTCTAAAACATATTTCTTTCACCTTGAAATTTGGTCTAGTAGTTGTTTTTATGATTAGAAACATATAGAGGCCGTTTCTTCTATCATGTGGTAACATTGCTATATTCAAACAGTAACAGATGAAACCTTTGGCCCTATGAATAACCGCTCGTACCAATCGCAAAAGCCCACGTTTTCATTTTGAAAAGTGAGGAGAGTGGGATTCAACTTTTGTCGTAAGATATTTGTGTTTTCTATCGGTGTTGTTGGTATTGATCCGTCCGCTTAGGTAGGTAAATGCAGGACTTATGTTGGAAATTCTTTTTTCCATTGTTAGTATATTACTTCCCTCGAAATGTTATTCAGGCAGTTCCGGTTAAATTGTAGGGAGATGACGAATACTTTACTCAATTGATTTTTACAATTATATCGATCAATGTTCTTCATTTATAATCTTCTCAATTTGTAGTAATGTAGTAATGAATCACTCGAGACGAACAATTCCGGTGGTTAACG